TCCAGGTTCGCATACTCGGAAAGCCGTCAGACTTTATAATGAATCATATTGAGTGCGGAATAAGATTAACATTATTAGATTTAGCTGAAATGTCTATTTAAATGCAATGGAAATGTTTTTTGATAGCCAACAACTCCAAGATTGATACAGTAAGACAAACATTTATCCCTGTGATTGCCAGGAAAATTGAAAACACTGCACCCGGTTGGTTCAGTGTGTTCTGCAGGGTGGTCTACCGCTCAGTCCATCTGTAATTAGTACATTAGTACCTGGCCCGACTACTCACCAAAAAGGAACAGGTCTCAAATGAACTACGTCAAATGCTTTGTACATGATACGTATATCACCGACCTTGTTTTGTTTTAATTATTTTTATTTCATTTTGCGCGACGAACAATGTTTTTGCAATCTGTATGCAAACGTTTCATCATCAGCCGAGATGACATCATCAGTGCTTGTGAAGTGGTAGTGTTCTGTTTGTACCCGTTCGTCCTTCTCTACCGACTGCAATTTATCATGTTTCATCGAGTTGGAGGAGAACACATATGTATGTAAACAAACGGGTATAAGCAGAACAACGCACCGGTGATGAAACGTTGGCAAAAATTACCAAGCTTGGCGAACAGGCGAAATAGAATTGCCCAACTAGAATTTTGATCAACAGTTACCCCACAAATCACTGTTTTGCTAAAGCCATCAAGGTTTCTTCCTCGCTGGAATAGATTGATAGCATTTTGCAATAATTTGTCGGCCTTTACTAACTGATTAACTTATATTTATTGGGGATTATTTGGATGCAACGTTCAGGCTTGAGGATGGCATCCATGAATGTGAACCTTTGTATCCTCAAATATATTCATTTAATCACAACTGAGCGCATACAAAGCGTAGCGGTTGTAGGCGACCAGATCGTGCACTTCATACATTGGAAATTCAACTTCACTGCCACCTCGTCGTTGGTAAACAAAGTTAACAACGTCAATGGAGTACTCAATGGAGCTTAAGTCGTCATTAACCTTCAGGCGATTCAACTACTTAGCGAACTTAACTGTCCCACCAGCGTTTCATTACTGCAAACCGTAGTGCAAGCTCATATTCAATAACCCGGACCATGTGTGCAATTTTTTGAACTGTGCAAAAACATTGTGACATATCGGAATTTTATTCAAGTACCAGAAAACTGCGTTCGTATTGCACGGAAATGTGTTTAATTCCTTTGAATCACTCTTATTGTGCCAAAGTGAAAATGAAGAAAGTAGCTTTGACGGGGCGGATCAGAGGGAGTGCTGTAATCTGCTTCTCAGCTTGACGCAAACATCGATCGGTATTCTACGCTGTCTGGTGTGAGGTTGACTTCCTGAGATTTCATTGAGTCTCTATCTGTGAATAAAATTTCATTGTTGATGGTTTCTGAAGTTAGTCTCGACAGGGACATGAAATTCACCTATTGATCTCCAGCCCCATCAGAAACGCTAAAAGTATTCCTGTCAAAACTATATAGCAAGGAAAGGTACATATTGATTGTTATCACTCCCAGTTTTGATTCGATATACTGTCAGACAGAGCGCACCATATTCTCGGCTAAATGAGCTCTTTTATTTAGGAACACCTCACGAGGGCAAAGGTCGAAATCGGATACCATAGGACAACGATAACAATTTTTATCCACGATGGGATGCTTTTCATTGGTTATTTGCGATAGTTCTCCGAGATCTGCGCATTTAAATACCGTGTGTATTGACATGTAGTTTTATGATCGAAAAGCGGGTCTGATAGATTAATCAACAAGTTTTTGCAGCATGATCCATTCCAGCTTGATGAAATTTAATGTACTCATTTCGTTGATTGTGGTGATCATTCTAGCTATCGTTTCGTTGGCTACAAATCCCTTTATCGGAAGTAAGTTGGAACTTGAATAATGCTCCCAGTACCCTCTGGGGTATATAATATAATTATTGCTATCAGCTGAATGATTCTTATTAAATAGTTTGTAAAATGATGCCCTGTCGTTATTTATTACGTTAATAACAGTTTTGTTGTGCGCAGATGAAAAAACAATTACAATATAGATCTTACTATGTGACTATAAAAGTACCTATCAAAGATACACGTTATTCTGATTAGATAATGTATTCCTTGCAAGTCCCATTGCAAGAAAACTCAAAGTTCTGTTCGAGTCTGATGAGTCATTAAAAGTTAAATCTGTAAACTTCGTATAATGTGTACTTTAAAGTTACTAGAGAATACAAACCGTAATGAACAAGCTCGTTTGCGGTAATCGTTCTACAGGCTGATACATCACAATTTGTATCATGTTGTTTAGAACGGCGAGAAATCATGGCAAGTTAGAAAAGGGATTATCAGCATAACCGGATGTTGCTCACAGTTTGGTCCTCACATATGCGCACTCGTTCGGGTAGTTACGGATGGGTGGGGCGAGGACTGTGTCGTGCATGGTGCTGGCCATAGAAGACCGCGTGTTCTTACGAAGTGTGTTTGGGGGAATAGCCGGGGGAGGGTATAATGTAGGCGGACTCCGATCGCTTCCACTGTGGCCAAATTACGATGCCTAATCATCTTAAGTCGGCGGGTGAGAAATAAGTAGAGGGGTCGAAACGCCTCGGTCATATTAGCTGCGTTGTTTGATTCCACTAGGTATGAAACGATTTACTTGTTGATGGTCTGAATTACTTCACTATTCGACCAGGCCAGGTGGTGCTCACGAACTCGTTCATATAAACTACTACTCGTGCGCCCAATTTACCTTGCCTCACAGGACCAGGTAAATAAATTACTAGAGTTCCCGTAGCTCAGACATTATTTAACCATAAGGTTGTAAAATTTGGCGTTTCATAGGATCATCATCTCCAGAGGTAAGTTGCACGCCAATGCAAGACAGTGCACATTTCACCCGTTTATGTTTTTTGTATTTATTACTGTAAATCTATGCGTAAGTAACTTGGTCGCACAAATATGTAACCGAAGTTTTCATCTGTGGACGCAACCTACCAAACAGTTCTCGTTGTACTTTGCTCGGGACTTCGGTTAAAACATACATTATTTAATTTGTTTCGGAAACGCTGTTGAAGTATACTTATATCACAAGTTGACCATGCTTTATTTGCAGCTAACACTTATAAATATTGATTTAGTGAAGTTCTGTTGATTAGACCAATATCACATCGAAGATATTATTGATGTTTTGTATGCAGCAAACATTTCATTATAATTCACCTACCTAAACAGAATGCTTGAATAGTGAAGAATATATGAATTGTTGGTAACGTGTGATATGTGTAGAGCAAGAAACACGAACTGTATGGTCGGAAAGTACAACAGAGCTGTTTCGGCGTAGCGAATCTGCCGACCGAACTGAGAACCGAGTGAGAGGTGACACAGTGGAAATGTGATATTAGATTTATGCAATTAGAAGTGAATCAGCATCCGATTCTAGTGGAATCCAGAAACCTCTTACGCAGGAGAACTAATCAATCCTTGAATAATGCAACTAGACCCCCTATTATGGTGATTACACTTCATTTGGGAGTTTACTGCTGATGAGGAAAACATGTTACTTGCATAGTAACCTACGTCATGGCTGGTAGTGCTTGGCTGTAAATTGTCAGAGCTAAAAACATTCCTGATTTCAGTGGTGTACTCGACCTCCTGTTATATTTCATTGGCTAGAACATCTGTCGGAGTTCAGGATCTCCTAACCCTCGACTGCGTTGCTTTATCCAGATGTTTTCTTAAACTTTCAACAATTGGATGTTTCCAAGTTTAGATTTTGAGAGAAGCGTGCAATAGATATTTTTGTGATTTGACTGAAGCATTTGGAGAAACAAAATAAAATTACAGGTCACAATCGGCAGTTTACCAGCGGAAATCTATCATAACTGAATGCATTTGAGTTGCAAACTCTGACTAACCTGCAATCCGAACCGAACTCGAAACTGCCATGTGACAGAGTCACGGCCTGTTTGCAGTGCAACCTAGTTGGAATAAAACTTTCATAACGGTAGCTCATCCGAAAAGCGGCGCGAATATGCTCAATTACAGTCGATTCAACTGTGCAACCTCCCGCGTTACTGAACAGATGGTGCTCGAAAACGTTTTAGAATAGTAATCGGATGTTAGACCATATGCAGCGCATTTTAATCAAAAGAGCATACCAGCTGATTTGTTGTGCATTAGAGACTCGGAGTCAATAACTAAATTAACAAGGATTGCTTGATTGACCACATAGCTGGCATCCCGACTGTTTGCATGAGCAGTTTATACTCTGAATGACCGAAGGTGTTGTCAGTTGAACATAAAATCGATAATCGTTTATTTACAGTCGCAAGCACACACAAACCGTTGGTGCATTGATTTTAACTACTAAACCAACGCGCTAAGTTGAGATTGATTATGAAGATAACATTTCCAGCAATAATAAAGCTGCCTCGTGTGTCAAGACATTCGTGGTTTCCGGTGTATTTGTTAATATTTTTTGCTATTTACTCAATGAAATCCCTGTTCAACTAAGAGTGATCCTTGTGAGGACCACGATGCTGCTCACAGAAATGCTTGTGATTGAGTCCGATAGTAATGATGCTATGATTTACAAACAATCCAGTCCAGTCCTGTCCAGTCCAGTTTTCACAGGACGAATATTGGCCCTTGCTAATCGAGGTCCAGATTATTGTGTTGTCGACGGGTTTTGTTGGCCCCAAACATTGCGTTTTCTGATTTTCCTTTCTCAGGTTTTTTCAGCTGAAGAAGAAAAAACATAAAAGATGTCTCTTTGCCTCATCAGTGAGACACCATAGTTTTCTGAAACATATCAGTTTCAAGTATATTCGAAAGGCCCAATTCTATAGTTCGGGGCTACAATTTACCTGGCGATACATTACCAGCTAAACTTAGGAAACAGTTCTGGCCAACGTGCATCCAGAGCCTTCTTGAAGTTGTGCACATTGGTGCAGTGGACCTCTCCCCCGAGTAATTTGTTCCATATAGGCATTACCCTGTGTGCGAAGAAGTTGGCCCGGAACGCTAGCCTAGCACGGTTCTTTTGGAGCTTAAAGCTATGAACCCTCGTGTTTTGAGCACGATAAGCCGTAAACAAGTTATCTGCTTGAAGTCCCGATAGTCCTCTGACTATTTTAAGGGTCTCTGTCAAGTCTTCTCGCAGTCCTCTACGTTCCAGCAATAAGAGATTTAGGTTTCTCAATTGCAGTTTAAATTTTTTTCCCTTTTGTCCAGCTTCCGTTCAGATAACAAGTCGTAGCACCTTCTCCAGGCATGCTTTATCGTTTCTATAGTATGGTACCCGCGCTTGAACACAGCATTCTAAGTGGGGGCGGACTGTTGTCTTGTAGATAGGTACAAATACCCTTGCGTTTCTATATGTAAGGGCAGCACACAGCCTGAAGAGCCCACCACGGGCCTTATTGGTTGCCTTCAGGCACTATGTTTTGGGCTTGAAACTCTTCATGAGAATGACTCCTAAGTCCTTAAACTACCTCTGTGCTGCAGTGCCAGCTGCCCGTCGCGAGCAGTATCGGCTATTTTCGAGAATTGCCGATATGTCCCACTGGATCGACCATTGTCTAACCGCTTCTACATCGCACTCTAGATTTGTTCCGGCTACTTTCACATCGTTCGCGAACATGAAACAGGGATTTTTAAATCGCGAGTCAATTCGCTGATGTAAATTAAAAATAGTAGTGGTCCTAGAACTGATCCTTGAGGTCTTCCTCCTGTTACTGTTGCAGGTCCACTCAGATGGTCGCCAACCTTCACACAGAACGTGCGATGACTGAGAAACTGTATGAACCAATTTATCACTCCCCTATGTAATCCTGCATCTCGTAGCTTGAGGTCT